AGCTGAAGACAAGCCACAGGGGTTTATTCAATTCAGCCAAAAACATAGCGAGTACAAGCGAACACAACAAAAGTACATGCATAAAACATTCAGAGAAACATGACATCTTATACGGTTTGACAGCTATTCAAAAAACCCGCTCCCTCCCCTGATTGGTCAGAAAGGGGGCTGGTCAGGATCCTTGCCCTGACTGGTTGGGAGTGCCACTGATGTTGCCACCTCCAGGCTCCCAGTCTTTGGTGGGAACAATGGATTTTGATGATTGCCTGGGAAACCTTCCTGTTCTCAGAAAATTATCTCAGTCGAGTTATGGAAAGGTTACTGTCTCCAGGCTACATTTTGAGAAATTTTATAAAGAGGTTTATATGGTGTGTGTGTGTGTGTGTGTGTGTGTATTTATGTGTGTGTAGATACAGTACACTGAAAGATACAAGTTACACAGAAAGTCAAAGAAAGCAGATAACATTTATTAAATGGTTGGAAACAATAAAGTCTTTGAGGAGGTGAAGATGCAACTGGTCGCTTCAATACTTCAAAATAGCTTTTTATATATATATATATATATATATATATATATATATATATATATAATGCTCTGTTCATTTTGAGTGACATCACAACTCAAAATCTGCTGGACAATTGCCACCAAATTTGGCCACAAGACACCTACTAACCCAAGGAGTGACCATCACTCAAAAATTGATTTTGTCATTTGGGCGTTGTAGTTGCTGGGATTTATGGTTTACTTTCAATCAAAGAGCATTCTGAACTCCACCAATGTTCAAACTTGGCACACAAGACTCCCATGACCAATAGAAAACACTAGAAGGATTTGGTGGGCATTGTTCTTGAGTTTTGGAGTTCACCTACATCCAGAGAGCACTGTAGATCCAAACAATGAAGGATCTAGACCAAACTTGGTACAGATACTCAATATGCCCAAATATAAACACAGATGGAGTTTGGGTAAAATAGACCTTGACATTTGGGAGTTGTAGTTACTGGGATTTAAAGTTCACCTACAATCAAAGAGCATTCTAAACCCCACTAATGATAGAATTGGGCCAAACATCCCACCCAGATCTCCCATGACCACTGAAACTACTGTGTTTTCTGGCGGTCTTTGGCCACCCTTCTGATACCCCCTCACAACCCCTTCCCATGGGTCCTGACCCTCAGGTTGAGAAATGCTGCCTTACGGTCATCCGGTCCAACTCCCTTTGCCAGAGCAAGAAAACATAATAAAAGCCCTCCTGACAAAGAATCATCCAGCCATAGATATAGATATATATGATTCACATACACACATACACATATATGTATATGACAGATATAGTATCATAGATTTGAAAGGGATCCCTAAAGAAGGACAATTATATGTTGCATGTTCCAGAGTAGTCAAAGCAGACAACATCAACACTAAGAAACAACAAGAAATACTGTTTACCCACAAGCATCAAGAAATCACATATATTAGAAACCAACACTTTCTCATTACTTTATTTTCCAGACGGCTAGTGTGTGTGTGTGTGCGTGTGTGTGTGTGTGTAGTTTAAAAAGCTTAATAAAAATATTTATTATGGTGTTACTGGCAAACTGTAGAACTTGTGTGTGTGTGTGTGTGCAGGGGGGGGGGCGGTCACCATAGTTCGACAACACACAAACATATATAGTAAAAACTGCTGTGTGAAGTCTGCTGTGTGTGTTTATACAGTTGACTCATAATTAACTGCCACCTGTGGGGAATTGGTAGATGGCAGATTAATACAGTTTCTGGTTACTTGAGGGTTCCTATAGAAAATAAGCCTGAGTAATACTATAAAAGGTAAAGGGTTTCCCTGACATTAAGTCTAGTCATGTCTGACTCTTGGGGATGGTGCTCATCTCAATTTCTAAGCTGAAGAGCTAGCATTGTCTGTAGACACCTCCAAGGTCATGTGGCCAGTATGAAGGCATGGAGCGCTGTTATCTTCCTGCAGAAGCGGTACCTATTGATCTACTCACATTTGCATGTTTTCAAACTGCTAGGTTGGCCCAACAGAAGGAGCTTACCCCACTCCCCAGATTTGAACCGCCAACCTTTTGGTCAGCAAGTCCAACAGTTCAGTGGTTTAACCTGCTGTGCCACCAGGGGGCACCAAGTAACACTATATCACACCATAAACTTTGTATTGACTTGATATTAATATTGAAATATGGTAATTAAAGGCAAATAAAGACATATAAAGACAAACTTTACTTAATGCAACAGTTTCATAGCTTTGTGGATACAGTATTATTTCTTCATTTTTTACTGCTGGTTGCTCAAGAGTTCTGGTTGCCTGAGTTCCAGTTAACTGAGAATCTACTACACACACACACATTTATATGTCTATATACATCCACAAACACACCCACATATATACACAATCGTATATCATTCTGGATTTTTGAGGGGCAATATGTATACAGTGCTGGCAGTCCCCGAGTTACAAACATCCGATGTACAATGGACTCATAGTTAAGAACGGTGCGAGTCAACAGGAATATTTTTTCTTAAATCTCTTTAAATCACTTTGTTCTTTTATTTGATTTGGGTTTTTTTAATAGCACTTTCTCCTCTTTCCTCCCTCCCGCCCTTTTTAATTATATATACTAAAAATTTCAAAATTTCAGTAAAATTTCAGATCTATATCCCAGAACTAGGTTATCTGTGCCCACACTCAGATAATGTGGAATTTTCTGCCTTGATATTCTGGGACATAGGGCTGTGTGGAAGGGGCCTCTGTCTCTGGGCCATTCCTATGCGCCAGGAGAGATCCAGCACGACGATAATGGAGGCTGGGTAAGTTCTTTTATTTTTAAATGGGGTTTTGCAGGGGTTGAAGAGGGGTGGGGGCTGTCTGCCTGGTCTCCTGATAGGTACTGGGAGATCATGTAGACAGCACCCATGGATAACCCAGATAATCAGATAACCCAGGGTCCTTCCACACTGCCCTATATCCCAGAATATCAAGGCAGGCAATCCCACATGATCTGAGTATGGACTCAGATAACCCAGTTCAAAGCAGATATTGTGAGATTTTCTGCCTTGATATTCTGGAATATAGGGCTGTGTGGAAGGGCAACCAGTTATCTATCTACTTCCTTCCCCTCTTTGTTCTTGGGTGCATCTACACTGAGAAGTAATGCAGTCTGACACCATATTAATGGCAATGGTTCCATTTTATGGTATCACTAGCCATCCCCTGCCACGTGTTGCTGGGGCCCAGTCTGTGTATATGTTTTGTGTGTGTATATATGTGTGTGTATATATCTGTGTATATATGAGTGTTTGCATATATGTGTGTGTGTGTATATATATTTGTGTATTTGTGTGTTTATATGTGTACATGCATATTGTGTATATCTGTGTATATATTTGTGTATATATGTGTGTTTGCTTATATATGTGTGTGTGTGTGTATATGTGTGTGTGTGTGTAAATATTTGTGTATTTGTGTGTTTATATGTGTACATGCATATTGTGTATATGTGTATGTGTTTGCATATATATGTGTGTGTATATATGTGTGTTTGTGTATTTGTGTGTATATATGTATGTATGTGGATATGTGTGTGCATGTGTATATGTATATGTGTGTGTATATGTGCATATATATATACACGTGTGTATGAATGTGTGCATGTGCATATGTATATGAGTGTATGTATATATGGTGTATTTTTTGGGTTTTTAAGTCTGTTCTGCTGGGGTTTTGTGTGTATGTGTGTTTATGGGTGATGGACACTCGTTGCACTGTTTGGTGTGTTGTGTCCAAATTTCGTGTCAATTCATCCAGTTGTTTTTGAGTTATGTTAATCCCACAAATGAACATTACATTTTTATTTATATAGATAGATGGTAACTGCACTATGTAACAAAATTTCTGTTCCTGGTATGAAAGAGTTTTTTTTTTGTTTAATTGCGCAGCATGTACTTTGAAAGTAGTTGTTATACTCCAGAAACTTGGTTTCTGTGACTGCCACAAACTATGTTGAATTTGTTAAGAATCTACGAGATATTCATTGAAAAACTGTATCAAAAGTGCTGTGGGGTGTTTTTGCAGTTTAATAAACTTTTCTCAATGTTTTCCTGACAGGAGCAATTAGGAAATGACATGTATTACCCAGGAACAACCATCATAGAGGAGAGATCTCTAGTGACTGTATCTATTTGTGGGGAGGGGGGGGCGTGCGTGGGAGGGTCTGCTCCCCGAGAGAACCTGCCTCCTTCCTCCTCCTTCCTGTTTCTCTGAGTGTCCTGAGCACCTGTTCCTCAGCCAAAGTAGGCGGGCGAGGGGCGGGGCCTGGGGCGTAGGAGGCGCTCGCGGCGGCCAGGCCTGTCTCGCGAGGGAGGGAGGGAGGGAGTGGGCGAAGGAAACTGGGGGGGGGGGGGGAGCGACACCCCCGGGCGGTGACAACCTGCACATTTGGGGAAGCTTTACCTCCCACTGCTGTGCACGCGCGCAAAGTGGCCCAAAGGTTTAACTTCCTATGCCACTTTGGGAGAAGTTTTGGCAGAAGTATTGGCCAACTTGGGCCCTCTCTCCAGGTCAGGCCCGTAGCCAGGATTTCGTTTCGGGGGGGGGGGGCTAAAAAAATTTCGGGGGAGTTGGGGGGGCTGAGTTTCGGGGGGGGCTGAGTCTGAGTGAAAGAGGGTCTAGCCTAGCAAACCTTTTGTATTATTACCCCAATACCCCCATGCATATGGGATATATTGATTATGGTGATCAGATCATGATATGAATAAACATAACAGTTTAAATAATGCACCAGTAAGGCCTTTTCGCGAACCACCATCAGAATTTGGGGGGGGGGGGCTGAAGCCCCCCAAGCCCCCCCCCCCCACCCCCCCCCCCCCCCCCCCCCGGCTACATGCCTGCTTCAGGGGCTCCTTTCTCCCACTGGCAGGGGTCGGCTAAGGGGGGAAAAGGAAGGGGCCTGAGGCTGTGAGGAATGGTGGGAGTTGAAGTCCAAAACACCTGGAGAGAGGGCCCAAGTTGGCCCATGCTTGCCCTAGGTCCACCTCAGTCATGAATAATAGAAGAGCCAGTGTGGCGGACCGCTTTCAGCCTTGGCCCCATCTACACTGCCATATAGCCCAGTTTCTGAATCCCAGCGATCTGCTTTGAACTGGGTTGTAGGGCAGTGTAGACGCAGCCCGTTTCATTGGTCTTCTGCCATGGTTGCTGTGAGTCGCAGGAGAGGAATCAAGTGACTCAAAAGAAGAGGGTCCACTTCCCCGGCCGAAGCCCAGCGGTGGTGGCGAGCAAGGCCAACTCTCTCAGCCTTTCCTTGCCCAGGAAGCCCAAGGAAACCCGAGAAGTGGGTCACGCAGAGTTGGAAACCTCCGTTGCCTTCAGTGCAAAAGTCGGGCGCGACGTGCGGCGGCGGCGTGTCCTTCCCCGTGGAGGTTCCCCCAGTCCCCGGCCACCCGCGAGTTCCAAAGGGCAGATTCCACGCCACGAGAACAATCGCGGCGCCGAGGGAGAGAGGGAGGAGGGGGGAGAGGTCGTTGCCCCAGAGAAGCGCCTCCTTCCCTCCCTCCCTCTCTCTCTCTCCTGCCCTTCTTCCCCGTGTCAAAGGCTGCTCGGAAGCGCTCGGGCTGTTTGGACGTGACCACCGGAGGCAGCCCTAAGACAAGCCCTCGGGGGAAGGTAATAAGGTCGGGGAGCCGCCTCTGTCCGAGGGAAGCCCTCCCTCGCTGGCCTTGCCTTCTTCCCCCAGCGCCCCTCCTCCCTTGCCCTCCCCAGCCGGAGACACACACACACGCAGCCTCCTCTTGGGGGAAACACGAGGAGGACCCCGTCCCCACAGTACTGACAATCCTCCTTTGGCGTTTGGGGCCTGGACTTTGGGGGGCTTCATTATTCACGGATTTCATTAAAATGCTCTTTCGAGGGCCTTCCACACAGCCCTATATCCCAGAATATCAAGGCAGACAATCCCACATTCTCTGCTTTGAACTGGCATATCTGAGTCCACGCTGCCACACATTCCAGTTCAAAGCAGCACATGTGGGGTTTTATTGAGCTGTGTGGAAGGGTCCCCAGACAGACCCTATATCCCAGGATTTGCTTTAAACTGGTTTATATGAGTCCGCATTGCCAAATAATCTAGGATAAAGAGACAACCTGGCAGCAGATGCTGAGATATAGTGCCTATCTGGAAGGGCCCTAGGACTCTCCCCGAGGCCTTCCACACTGCCCTTTATGCCAGGATCTGATCCCAGATTATCTGCTTTAAACTGGAATATATGAGACCCCACTGCCAGATAATCTGGGATAAACAGATAATCTGGGATCAGATTCTGAGATAAAGGGGCAGTGTGGAAGGGGCCTCCCTGCCAGGCATGTAGCCAAGGGGGGGGGGGGGGGGGGCTTGAGGGGCTTCAGCCCCCCCCCCCCCGAAATTCTCATGGTGGTTCACGAAAAGGCCTTACTGGTGCATTATTTAAACTGTTATGTTTATTCATATCATGATCTGATCACCATACTCAATATATCCCATATGCATGGGGGTATTGGGGTAATGATACAAAAGGTTTGCTAGGCTAGACCCCCTTTCACTCAGACTCAGCCCCCCCTGAAACTCAGCCCCCCCAAAACCCTCCCCCCCAACCCCCCCCCCCCCCACCCCCCCCCCCCCCCCCCCCCACCCCCCCCCCCCCCCCCCCGGGAAATGAAATCCTGGCTACGGGCCTGCTCCCTGCGACCCACTTCATCACCTGGTTCTGCCTCCTGCAGAATTCTGGGGTTTGTAATTTAGTGAGTCTGTTAAAGGCTCCTCCCAAAACTACAAACCCCAGAATTCTACAGGAGGCAGAAACCGGATTTTAAGTGGGTTTTTTTCTGTTGTGTTGGGACTCCAGCTCCCATTCGCCCTTGTCCAATAGCCAGGTGCAACTCTGAGGTCAACTTCCACCAGTCATTCTGGAGGACCTGAAGATTAGATGACACTGCTCTAGGGGCACTTCCACACAGCCCTATATCCCAGAATATCAAGGCAGAAAATCCCATAATATCTGCTTTGAACTGGGTTATCTGAGTTCACACTCAGATAATGTGGGATAGGGAAGTGTCATCTAATCGTCAAGTCCTCCAGCATGACTGGTGGAAGTTGTGTCTGTATCTCTTATAAGGGGTTGGTTTAATATCAGAGTTGCCAGTAAAATTGAATTACTGTGTCACAAAATGATACATGTCTAAAACATGTGCCACCGATATTAAATATTTGGAAAGCTGTGCTCTAGATCCTCAAGTGCAATTCAGCATTCAGTCTCCAGCAGACATTGACCATAGAACCACACGGGAGGACCTCGAGATTCCAACAGCCTCATCACGCTAGAGCAGTGCCCAGTGTTTCTCAAACTCTGCTCCTTCAGGTGTTTTTTGAACTTCAGCTCCCACAATTCCTAACAGCTGGTAAGCTGGCTGGGATTTCTGGGAGCTGAGGTCCAAAATATCTGGAGGAGCATAGTTTGAGAAACACTGCACTACAGTATAGATCCACTTTAAATCTGGTTTCTGCCTCCTGCTGAATTCTGAGGCTTGTAGTTTAGTGAGGCCCAGGACCTGCCTGGCTGACTAGTTTAAAGGACCCTCCTTAAACTACAAGCCCCAGAATTCTGCAGGAGGCAGAAACTGGATTTAAAGCAGATCCATGCTCTAGTATGATGAGGTCCTAGAGAAGTGCTCTCTCAAATAATAAAATAGCAATTTATTTATTTGTAGTTTTCACATTCAGAGAAGTCTTATGCTGCTAAGCACAGTGAATGTGGAAGACCAATATCCAAAATATTGGGTTTTTTTCAGCCCCCTCCTCCCCCGAAAACCGTTACACACACCCTTAAGATTTCCATAGAAGAAAGGTGTCACAAAATGACAAGATAAACATTTAAGTGAGGTGTGCAACCCTGTGCTTCATCAATGCCAGCAGTGCATGGCAGACCAGGGATGATACCTTGAACATCAGACATAAAATTGTGATTTAAGGTGGAATCTGTTATCGATGAAATCACTATTATTACATTTGTTCTTCCATATAAATGTATTTCCAGTCAGCTCCCCATTTCCATGGATTCTGTAGTCATGAATCCAATCATCCACCATGTGTAAATATTTAAAAACAAATTCCAAAAAGCAAAGCAAATGAGTGTGCTTATACAATGTTGTATAAGTGGATAAAAAAGAATTAGAAAGCAGCAGTTAATGTTAACAGTGTTTTTGCTTTCAAAACAACAGAATCAAGGCCCAAAACTATTATTCAACCTGAACATTATCGACTTGGGTTCTAATGCATTTCAGTTCTGAACATTTTTCTGCCTCTTTTTCTAGGTGAAATCCTTTTATTGTTTCCACCCGAAGACACATAGGAAAAGATGTCTTACTTAATGAAAAAAGTTCTAAAATATAGGTCTGCCAGTCATCTTCACAATGTCGGAAGATTATTTAGTAAAATACAAATGCTAAGTGGTTCTAAAGCCTTCAGTGGTCAGAATATGAGAATACAAGCATTTTCTCAGGCCAGTTCTGAAAAAACAGACTCTTTCAGTTATGTGATAGTTGGAGCCGGATCCGCAGGGTGTGTCTTGGCCAATCGGTTGACTGAAGATCCTCACAGCACTGTTAAACTGCTGGAAGCAGGGCCAAAAGATACCATTTTAAATAGCAAACTATTACTGTGGAAGATTCATATGCCTGCTGCCTTGACCTACAACCTGTGCGATGAAAATTATAACTGGTATTACCATACCACACCACAAAGGCACATGGATAACCGTATCATGTACTGGCCCAGAGGAAGAGTGTGGGGTGGATCATCCTCTCTCAACGCCATGGTTTACATCAGAGGCCATGCAGAAGATTATAACAGGTGGAGTAAGGAAGGGGCTGTTGGTTGGGACTATGAGTTCTGTTTGCCGTACTTTAAAAAAGCACAGACTCATGAACTGGGTCCTGACACTTATCGAGGTGGGAACGGTCCACTCCATGTATCAAGGGGCAAAACCAACAACCCCCTTCACCATGCATTCTTGGATGCCGCCCAGCAAGCTGGGTACCCTTTCACAGAGGATATGAATGGTTTTCAGCAAGAAGGTTTTGGCTGGATGGACATGACAATACACAAAGGTTAGTCTTAAAAATATTATGCTTGGAATGTTGTGTACCAACAACAATTTCTCTGTATTAACTTACCACAAACTGTTTTGAAATTGTGTTCTTGGGAAGCCCTGTGATAACTCAAATTGATTTTCTGGTTCTCCAGAACTGGAAATGTTTATTTTAGCCAAGAGAATTCTAGATTGCGGCCAGGTTTTGTTGTGCTCTTGTGAAATAACCTCTGATAACACTAGTGATTTCTGTTTGGATTTCTGCTTCATTTGAATTCATGTGTAATTCTTAAATGTAGATGCAATCCCCACTTCACATTCACTGAGGATTGGGGTGCAGGACCCTTGCAAAATAGGAAAACAGTAAATAAAAAACTTTTTATAACCTATGAGAGCATCTTTCTAGGAATGTTACTCCAGGATCTCCAGTGCACATTTGTGGTCAGATGTGCACTGGAGATCCGGGAATAACATTCCTAGAAAGATGCTCTCATAGGTTATAAACAGTTTTTTATTTATTCCCTGTGGTCAGTGTTCTCTGTAAGAATGCCTAGTTTCTGCAACACAACTCTATGATCAACTTCTGAAGGAATTGATGATTCCTAGAAAGACAATATTGATCAAATATTTGAATAATCAGATCCACAAAAGACAAACCTGTCAATGTAGGATGTCTGTATTTTTTAGGTTCAAGGCATTATGCAGATAAGCCACTTATTTGTGACTGCAAATAATTAGTCCTTCCCAGCTATTACCCACTTTAGCCATCAGTGGTGGCAGCATGTGGCCCATGTATGTTGTTTTAAAAGTAGATTGGAGGAGGTGAAACTGGCAGAGTTTTCAGCAATGTAGTGATGTAAACCCTTTTAAGTTGGTGTGTGGGGTTGCATCAGGCTGTGAGCATGTACACAATGTACACATGCTGATGCAATTTAACCTAGGGAAAGCCACTTAATGCATAATGTGGGTGATCCCTGGGTAAGAAAATACAGGGAAAGCCACAATCCTGTAGCATGATTTGGGTTTTCCCTCGTCTTAGGGCAGTATAAACACCCCCTCCCCTAATTTCTATGTGAAATAGTAGCCGGTTTTCAGGCATAGCTGACTCAAGTGTTTGTTCCATAAGATGTTTCAGTACTAAACAATGCACCCCTATTTCCTGGAAATTGTTCAGCCCTCAAATGAGTGATTACTGTATAAACTTGTGTATAATTTGAATTTATTTAGATATACTAACTCCCAAAACCTGGATTTATCCATTGGTCAGTGTAAGCTACAGTATTAACCTGGATAGAAAAATGGTGATGGCAGATGCTTAGTGTTTCTCCATTATGGCGGAAACTTTAGAGGGGGTCAGTGTTTTTGAGCTTCCCAGAACAGACCAAGGACCCTTCCAGACAAGCCCAAAATGCGGGACCTGTCTTGTTTTTACCTGATGTGTACAAATGACACCTCAGGTAAAACTGAATGAATCCGTAGAAAACTGGGATTTTCCAGTTTGCTCTGGATTAATGAAACACCTAGAAAGTCCTGGACCTTAAGTTAAGCTCTGGATCTTTCCAGGTGAAAGCCCTAAGGGATTGCTTTTGCAGTTCCACGGACGATCCCCATAGTGAACCCAGTCCTTTGACCTCTGAGAGCCCAAAGAGTGGGATAGTCCCCCCCCCAGACCCCCATTTGCCCCTCCCCCCCAAATGTACCAGAGGGGTCTGACGGCAGCGCATAGGAAAGTGAGGGTGGGGAGGAGGGAAACACTGCACCGTAGGGCTGCTCTGGGACTGTTGCCATCACTACCAAGCATAGTGGCTGTTCTTTTGTTTGAGAACCAGAAGAAAGAAGTGCATCGCTGCCAGTCAGAGAAGGAGTTATAATAAGAACATGAACACAGTGCCTCACCAGTAAAGAGGAAATGGCAGCTGCAGGTGAGACTGGAGACAGCCTGAGCAAAGGGTGGAACAGTAATCTTCCACTTGCTTAATTGCTTGTAAGCCACTCTGAGAAGCCTGGTAGGAGCTGCATAGGGGTAACACTATGTGTTCCATGTAGATTGGAGGATTCTGGAAGTTGCAGCAGTGGCCATCATTTGGTGTTTCCTCTGTGATTCTGTCAGCCAGAGCTATCCACATCCCCCTAGTGACTCCACTTGTGAAAGGCCTGGATAGGAATGCTTAGGCAGAAAAATTGTGGTGGCAGTGACCTGTGGTAGTACTACTTTCCCTCCTGTAAAATACCCCTTGGCTTATCCATGGATCATTCAAAATACATAATTCTGACCCTCAAACCTACCCCCAATTTATACATGAGAGTGATGTATATTGTAGCATAATCATTCTTGACAAATGTTGAAACTGAGGGAGTAACTCAATTGCACTTTGAGAATAGAGCACAAGGTGTTGGATATTCTGTTCTCTCCCTAATGCTGTAGACTGGGCCAGTATTGTATGCATAACCCAAAAGATGTAATAAGAGCACCTCCTGATCTAATCCCTATCCCTCCCAACTCATCTATGGCATCTTGCATACTAAACCTACGGACCCACTGCCAAGATACCACATTTGGAAGTCAATCATACTTGGACATGAGTGATGACAGATGATGACGGCTAAATCTGCATTGGTGGATGTCTGCTATAGCAATGGAATAGTCTCTCCCTTACTGCCTGCAGCCTTCCATAAAACTTGCTCCACTGGGTTTCTCAGACAATGGAGCAGGTTTTGTGGATGCCTGGGGCATTATGACAGCAACTGGGAGGACAGGAGCTGAGGAGATAAACAGCTTCTTCCCTATACTTGGAAGGAGATAGTTCTATCATTAGATTTACAGCATTGGATCCTTTTGCATGTGGGGTGCATGCATGCACACACAAAGCTTTCTGTGGATGTAGCTCACCAGTTGCTGGTCTGGACTCAGGAGAATAAAGAATATGCCGTTGATCCTCAATTTTCATGGGGTTAGGGGCATAGGGTCCCAGCAAAAATAGAAAAATTACAGCTATGAATCTAAATCATGAACACTTTTTTTAATTGGTGAGGACACTTGTTTAGGCATTTTAGGTCCTCCAATGTGATTCTGTGGACCATATTTTTTATTGCACATAGGATAGCAAATACAGTCATTTGTGAATAATCAACTCCATTAATGCTTAATTGGAAATGTAGAGGGACAATTGTATAATAATATTTAAAAAAGCAAATTGCTTATATATTACAATAGTACAGACAATCAATGTCGCACATTAGTTTGGTAACCGTTAACATAACAATGTATTTTATAGGTCTCAGATGGAACACAGCTAGTGCCTACCTTCGCCCTGCATTATCACGTCCCAACTTGTCTGCAGAAGACAGCACATTTGTAACAAAAATTTTGTTTGAAGGCACCAAAGCCATTGGCATTGAATATATTAAAAATGGAGAAAAGAAAAAAGTAAGATTATTTTTATTTTTTATTTTTTGAAAATAAAAAAACCCCTTGTTCTTACTGCATTATGGCTATAAACAAATTTACTGTAGTGTTAGAAAATCAACTGTTGAGACAAATTAAATGATAGATAAATTTCATCTCCTTCATTAATCCAGAACCAATGCCAAAATGATGTGATCAAGGGAGAGGGCAAACCTAACTCCACTTTCCTGCAGATATCCTCCAGCTAATGATGTTCTTCATTCACACAGAGCTTTTTCTCTGGGAGATTTTATTGGACAAAATTGAAGAATGAAGCTGTCTAAATTATTGCAGTGGGGAATTTCAAATATTACAATATTGAATAAGGAATCAGTGTATACAAAATTTCAGTAAACATGTGAAGTGAATAATCCAAATGAATGTTCTTGGACTAGGTTTTCTTGTCAGCGGTGAATGTTGTTCATAGAGCAAAGTGACTGTAAAAACAGATTCTTACTATCAGACATATGCTAGAGGATGGATTTTAAACCCAGGAAGCAATTGAAAGTGATGGTGATGATGATGGTGATGATAATTATTTAATACCCACCTCTCCTTGTGACTTGAAGTGGGGTACAACATTCAGTGCTCTAGAGCTTCTAGGGAAGAAAAGGAAAGAGGCATGAAGAAAATGCTGAGAAGGTTAAGAGAAAAGAAGAAACTGCAAGCTGCATGCTAAAAACGGAAAGAACTGCCAATATTCTTCTTCTCATCTACAATATGCATCTATACTGTAGAATTAATGCAGTTTGATGCCCCTTAAACTGCCACAACAACACTGTGGAATCATGGGACTTGTAGTTTGCTGTACCAGCATAACTTGGCAGAAAACTACACCTCCCATATCCCATAGCATTGAACCATAACAAACTACATACATTCTAGAGTGTAGATCTAGATGGCAGTGCTTCATGCCGGGCAACTCCTAAACCACACATTCCTTGTCATGGTAAGGCATATTAGGTTCAAAATTCCTGGTTAAAGAATATTAGCCACCTCCCAATATTCCCTGCAAGACAAAGCACATCTTGCACCCCAAAACTACACATCAGCAAGGAAAAATGTGTATTGAACTATGGCAGTTAAAAGTGGCATCAAACTGCATTAATTAAACAAGTGGATTTGGCCTCCATCGATATATCATTACAAGGCTTAAACAGCTTAAAATGACAGTGCTGTTTAACTTGTTGCATTATTTCTAGAGTTTTTCTGCCTTCATCAAAACCATTTGTTCAAGGTTTCCTGGGCAATGACTTTAGAAATGAAGGACCTGTGATGCATGAATAACCACTTGTTGTTTAGCAAGAGACATGTGCTTTTATACACTTTTTTTTTACACTTCAGAGTAAGGGGTAATGAGTAAAAGCACCAACTGTGGTTTAGAAGCAGTAAACATTTTTGATCCAATACTTAACTTACTAAACAGTTGACATAGCTAAAAAATAGAAAATCAAATTCATCCTAGTCTCAAAGAAATGCTCATGTAGTGTCCTCTCATGGTAGGACATATTTAAGTAGAAATGGTATGATTAATGTTAAGCAGTCATCTCATATTAGCCATCTAGAATTTGAAAACTGTAGGCCTAATTCAAGTAAAGTGTACGTTAGGTATCCACTGTTGGTTGATCTGAGGAGCTCCCCCCAGCCACTGTGGATACAAAAATCCATTGAAGCTGAAGCTTATACAATGAGATCTTAACTGAAGAACATTCTAACTTAAGAACATTTTGAATTAAAAGCTATCACTCGACCTGGGTTTTGCTTTGACATACGAGCGGCTTTTTGATTGAAGATGAAGTGCTAGAGGGAGCACTAGCACCCAAGCTTGGTTTCATGAAGAGAGAGAGAATGAGAGAGAGCAAGAGAGGGAGGAAGGCTGGAATTAGTACAGTATGAAGAAAATGATGTTTCTGCCTCTTCACTTTGTGCTTCTACCATTTAGAAGTTTATCTTATTTACTGTTTCACATGAATGTGCATTTATATATTATTTATTATTTATAAACTACATTTTCTTATTCAAAATGCATAACAAAAAATGGGGATTTTTGCTTTGAGATAAGAGCTATTTGGGTTAAGAGCTCAGCCACAGAACAAATTAAACTCTTAACTCAAGGTATCACTGTATTAGATATAATAGCTTAGTAAAAAGGTATCCCAAAATCAAGGTTTGCTTTTGGGATTTTTAAAACAATATGTTCAAATCATGGATGCTTGAAGCCATGTTTGCAGAATCTGTGATATAGAAATTGCCACAGATATGGCAAAGTTGTTTTCTGGGAAGGCTTTTAATGGTATTAATTCAATTCTAAAACTACCACTATTTACAGTTATTTTTCTTTTCTTTCAGGTTTTTGCTAGCAAGGAAGTCATTTTAAGTGGGGGTGCCATAAATTCTCCACAGCTCCTTATGCTCTCTGGAATTGGAAATGCAGATGATCTCAAAAAATTAGGAATCCCTGTTGTATGTCACCTTCCAGGTTTGTACAAAATAAAATATAATTGAACTAAATAAGGTTCCCTTAGCTCTTTTGTTATATGTATTTGCTTTGAGATACATTCGTTGGTGTTTCTCATTTCTGCTAGGAGTTGGACAAAATCTTCAAGATCATTTAGAAGTATATGTACAACAGAAGTGCACTCAGCCGATAACACTGTATAAGGCGCAAAAGCCTCTTCAAATGATCATGATTGGCCTTGAATGGTTCTTGAAAAGTACAGGTATGATTTAAAATTAGTGTCCCATTATGCTCTTTTTTTGGATATTGATATCAATTTGCTTTTGAAATAAAAATTGATTGCCTCTGCACTTGAACTAATGTACTGTAAATGGAAATAACCTTTGACTACTGATTAAGTATGGGTTTGAGCCAAGTTTAGACATCGTTACATAGTTATTATAAGGATTAATGAGATAAAACACATTAAAATGAGTGCTATAGAGTGCTGAAAACATGCTAAGTACTGCTGAAAAGCCTGTATTCTTCCTTACCTTTTAAAGAAAGTGTTGTAAGAAGGGTTTAGGCTGAATCTACACTGCCCTATATCCCAGGATCCGATCCCAGATTATCTCCTTATCCCAGATTATCTAGCAGTGTATGTTGGGCAAGTGGGCTTATTAACAGAAGACCCTCCTCATAAATGTACAGCAGAGTAACTTATTAGCAGCAGTGTGACCCAGCAACACTAGCCCAAAGTGATAAAAAGAACAAAAACACAGAGACCAATGTTTTATAGGGCAGTGTAGATCTGGCCTTTGAGGGGATGTTAATTTCAGTCAAAGGACCAAATCAGTTTCTGAGATGTCGCTGAAAGCCATAATCTTGTGACAGGCAGGGCCAAAGACAAAAGGCTAAGACCATATTTTAGTTTAGAACTTTTACTGACAGCAATGTAAGCCTTGGGGGAGACTTTTAATCTGTTTAGAATAGGAAATTATGGTACAAAATCTGGAAACCACCAAATAATGAGGAAGGAGGTGCAAGTGTCTTGCTGGGGCAGGGGGCAGATTCATCCCAAGGTTCCTACTCTTCTTACTACTTCATTGCTAGTGTTCAGACCTCTTTCTGACTTTTGTTTTCATCACAGTGTGACCATAATATATTTCACACCTTCTGTCTTCTGAATTCACCAGATATCTCATTGAGTGCGCATCACCACAGCTCACAAAATGCGTGAGCTCCCGTGCTTTTATCTGTGGGCCCTGTGTGGATTGGAGCCAGGGGTCACATTGCGCAGCTTCTGGGCCCAATCCACACAGCTGTCTCAGGAATTCCGGGCTCCTGGAGCCCAGAAAACCCATGATACCCCCACCCCTCCCCCAAACTCCTTGAAAAACTCTAAAAAGTAAAAATTACTTACATGGCCACCATTACCCTGCTGGCGGCCCTCTCCTGGCACATCATTTCTATGTGCCAGGAGACAGCCAGCAGCAAGGTAATGGTGGCTAGAAAAGTATTTTTTTACTTTTTAGGGTTTTTCGGCAGAGGGGTGGTTGTTAGTGCTTCATGTGATGTAGGGTGCTGAAATTGAAACTGTTTGTGTGGTTTTTAGATCTTGATGCATGATTTTTTTTAATTTGGTCCATGATGTCCCCATTTCCAGGTAAGGGAGCCTCTGCTCACTTGGAGACTGGTGGATTTATTAGAAGTCGGCCAAAAATTTCTCACCCAGATATTCAGTTCCACTTCCTCCCTTCTCAAGTCATTGACCATGGACGTGTTGATTCCCAGATGGAGGCTTACCAGGTGAGTAGTACCTAGACACAAATCACCATGAAGAAGTTCCTAGACAGTTGAAATACTTTATCTGTTGCCATTTTGTGAAGTAAAGGGCAAGATTGTGTCCATTTTGAGTCACTGGTCCTCTTCCTCCTCCCCCTCAGCTAGAGGGTTAAACCGAATGCAATTGTCTTTTCTCTTTCATAATATATACTATAGAATAAAATCTGTGTTAGAGATTTTCTGCAACAGCTAACTTGTTTTAAAATAAAGGGAATTCTAATTTATTTATGAATCTATTTGTACCTTGTTTTCTTTGATTGTTAATTGACATTATTCTCAAGTCCCTAGTCTGGGTAGAAGAGTAAATTCTTTTTTTTTTTTTTTTATAAATTTTTATTGCGTATAAAAGATAAAAAACAGTGGCCAAAGTTACAAACAACGTGAGCAACAAACAATACAAGACAATACAAAGACAAACAATAACAAAGATAGATAGTTTCAGCCTATATTAGTGTTTGGTTTCTAAGTCTTCTGGAACAGTAGAAACACTCGAAGTATATATAACTTATCTAACCAAAAGCAGTTAAAAAAGAAAAGAAAAAGAGATGGAGGAGGCGTAGTTAACAGCCTCAAACTTTGACTTCCTATCCCTTCTATTCTGGCAGTTTTGAGGAGGGTGCCCTCCTTCTTTTCCTGTTTATCTATCATTTTTTATTTTATTTTATTTTCGCTTTCATTGTGTTAGGCGCATCTACAAATTCCTATTTCTATTTCCTTTAAATGTTAGCGTCATTTTTGCGTGATACTTATCTTGTGGTATGCGTCTGCATCAYTTCTTGTCCTGCTTATCTTCTTCCCTATTCTATCTCTTATTTTTCCATTGAGGTATCGCATATAGGGTTGCATTTGACGAGCTAATTTTCTGGGTTGGAGTATCRATTTTTTGATGGWGTTTGGTAGCCCTAGTTCCTATGTTGTCTCAAGATATTAGACTATTAGTTTTACCTTCCTTTCTCTAAGCCATTCCTTAACCAGGGACCAGTCTGTTGCTGTTATGGGTGTATTGCGTGAGGCCGCTAGGATATACGTCAGATGATCCATGTTCATTATGTCTATTATCCTCTCTATCCATTCCCCTTCTGATGGTATTTCTTTTTGCCTCCAGACTTTTGCTAGCARDATGCGGGCTGCCGTTATCAGATATACAAACARTTTCTCTGTATCCTTGTCCCACCTTTCTTCAGTTAATCCTAGTAAAAAATATTCCGGATTAAGGGGGATGTTCTTTTTTAAGACTTTTTGGCAGTTTTCCTGGATAGCATAATACAAGTCAGATTTTTTTTCTTGTGAAGCTTTTAATGGTAAAAGAGGGATAAAGGGTGAGAAAGGAATGCTTTGCCCCTATGCTCATTCCTGATTTCCAGAACCATCGTTTATGAAACCTGGCAAAATAGTCTAACCAATATCATAATGTGTCCAGAAAATGTATAAGGAAACTCTGATTCAGAATAGTTCCTTGCTGGATGATTTATGACCTTTTCCATGGGTTATTCCAGGTCCATATTGGTCCCATGCGAAGTACCAGCGTGGGATGGCTGAAGCTGAAAAGTGCTGACCCCAGGGAGCATCCTATCCTTGAACCAAACTATTTGTCTACAGGTAAAGACAGTGTTGGCTATGTTCTGGACTTTATCTTTTCAGTTTATGGTCCTAACACATCTATCAGTAACTAAACACTTATATCCCTTGGATAGGTAGGGCCACTTTATTTTTGTGTCTGTGGAGTCAGCTTGCTGCATTAGTGGATTTAACTTTTGCAGATTTGATTATTCACATATTTGATTAATAGGTTTGATTAATGCTTTGCCCCTATGCAAATGAATGTTTAGGTCCTCCAACATGGCTGTATGGTGCAGAACATAGATTTCCTATAAAGAACCCCTCTTCAGAAATCTCTAGTTTCTCCAGCAAATATTTGCTAGGTGTTGACCATAGAATCCTGTTGGAGAACCTAGAGATTCCTAGAGAGAACATTTATTTAGGCATTTGTATGTCCTGCAGCATGATTCTGTGGACAACTTTAGCAGAAATTTCCAGGAAGGTGTTCTTACAAGTAAAAATAATGTTTTTTGCATCCTTGTGAGGGGTTTGCACAGCAAAAGTGAAATGCCTACTTTTTATTTTTTTTACCAAATGTGGATACAAGGTAACAAAGTGTAAGGAATGCTGGAGCTATAACAGCTTCCATAGTTTTGCCAATTAATGTGAAACAGGCAAAAAATGGAGAAAAGACCATAAGAAGCCATCAAATTTAACAAAACAAAGGGAATTATTAATCTAATGTAGTCATCCATAGCCTTAAATGTTTATTCTCATAAAAAGAATTCAGAAAATGAAAACAAGACCAGGAGTTGCATTGATTCAATATTGTATATAGTCTAGGGCTGTGCAAAACTTTGTTTGTAATTTGTCATATCTATTTTATAAAGTTTGAACATGGAAAGTGATATTAAGAAATGCAAGGGGTGCCCATGCAAAAAACTTAAGATTCAAAACACTGACCTATGACTTTCAGAAGAGTTATGCAAGTCTTGTAAATAGCTCCAGGTCTCAGTCACAGGCTCTACTTCTCCCCCAAAATGGCTGGCTTTGGTTCCCCCAAAAGGCCTTGAGGTGAGGCCAGAATGGAAGGAGGAGCCCTGTTCTTTCCCCAAAGGGGTGGTGAGGGAAAGAGGGATGCCTGGCTGGATGGCTGTGCAAGGAAGAAACTCCCCCAGCACATGGCTGGCTCAGAGAGAGACAGGCAGAGGCATAACATTGAGGCTTTAATGAGGGCAACCCCAATATTCTGAAGCAAGCAGAATTCTGTGAAATATAGTTTAGGACAGGGCCTTTTGAATTCTCTGCCACAGGGGTCCTCGCTTTCCCAAACCACATTTACCAGAATCTGCTTACTGCCTTGTGCCTTCTCCTCCCTGAAAGTTTTGGTGGGGGAAAACCCATGTTCATTCTCTAAAGGGATTTCAAGATAAAAGGGGGTTGTTGGGAGTTGAATCAACCCTATGAGGTAGGCAAAGTTGAGAGGCAATAACTCCAGAGTCTATCTAGTAGGTTTCCTATTATTTATTTATTTATTTATTTGAAAGGCTGGATGGGAATCAGTTGAAGGTGCTTTTACTGTGTTTTCCTGCCTGGCAGAAGGGGGTTGGACTGGATGACCCCTGAGGTCTTCCAGTGGAATAATTCTATTAAGTTTATGCTGGTTAAAATTCCCTAAAAATAATTTTTTTCTGAAACTCAGGGGTAATGATGCCCTTGTTATGTTGTGTCATTGAAAATAGAAATTCAAGGATATAGCTCTTGTAGGGTTTTTTTTAAAGGGGGGGGGGTTGTGCATAAAAACTTTTTAAAATGTCCAAAACTCAGTGGATGGGTGAAATGTTCCAAAACTTAATGGGGGGAGTAACAGTGGTAAATGTGTTTAACCGCTGTAGAAAGTTTCACCCCAATAGCTATAAAAATGAGGGAGAAAGAAGCCCCAGAAGCTTCCCCACTTGCACAATTACTTAACAAAAAATTGTTATATCATTATACTTATGATATGCACCCCTAATGATATTTTAGAAACACTTTAGAAATGATTCACCACCTCTCCTAATTTAGTAATGAGCATTGAAACATATTTTTCATTGTTTGCACATGCCTAATAGTCTTATATGAAATTTACCCAATAACAGGTTTTTTTAAAGGAAATGGGGAGAGCATGTATACAAATACGATGTCTTAAATTTTAATCTATCATTCCAAAATAAATGTGATATAACTCCTTTTTCCAGAAAAAAAAGGATTTACAGAAAATCCAGTTTCCCTCCTGACTTTTTTCTGTGCCTTCACTTTTTTCTTTCTTTTTTGTTTATAATTTTTTATTGAAGATAAAAAAGAAAGTTCCTTTTACATAAAAAGTGAGAGAACAATGTGATTAAAGAAAAGTGGGGAATAAAGATAGGAAAAATGAAAAGAGAAAAGAAAAAAAGAAAAAAAGTTGACTTCCATCTATTCCTTGGTGGTTGTATTTGATCTTTTTTTTTTATGGAACTGCTTATGTGAAGCATCACACTCAGTTGCAGAATACAGATACGAGCCATAAATTCCTCAGTCTTTTACAAATAGCTCAGTTTACACAAATTGCCATTATACTTGTAGTTACCAAGTAGCTGAATTGAATTGCGTAACCAATGCAGTCATAATCAAAATACTCAAACTTTTAATGATTACAGTGCTTTTTGCATAGTGGAGAAAAAGGTTAGGATTGTTCTCTCCATAAGCAATGAGAAAAGGAATATTAAAATTATCATTCCACTGAAAGCCATAAAGTGGATATTTTGGCCTTTCCAATTATTAAGATTTTATATGTGTGGGGAAAGATTTCTACTTCTGCTTTAAAAAGCAAAAATATGATAAAACATAGACATTATTTTCCACCTGTTCCTGCTTCATGTTTTGGCTGTTTTTGACTTGCTTTGGCTGGACATTGCCTCTACGTAATACATATACTGTACAGAAGTATTGTTCAGTGTTAAATATGTTCAGAACCACTGCCTTCCTCTTCTCCTCTCCTTTTCTTTTTCAGAAATAGATGTCTGGGAATTACGGCAATGTGTGAAGTTGGCTAGAGAGATCTTTGCTCAGAAAGCCTTTGATAAATTCCGTGGGCCTGAAATTCAACCTGGAGACCATGTTCAGTCAGATGAAGAAATTGATGCTTTCATACGAAAAAAGGCTGATAGTGCCTATCATCCTTCCTGCACTTGTAAAATGGGACAGAGTTCTGATACGACTGCTGTAGTGGATCCCCAGACCAAAGTTATAGGAACAGAAAACCTCAGAGTGGTCGATGCGTCAATAATGCCTAGTATTGTCAGTGGCAATTTAAATGCCCCAACTATCATGTTAGCAGAGAAAGCTGCTGATATAATCAAGGGTGTGCCCTCACTGCAAGAGAAAAATGTGCCTGTATATAAACCCAAAACTCTGGAAACCCAGCGCTAACTACCGCCTGTTTTGTGTCCAGGATGCAGACGTTTCTCACAGTATATGAATCGTGTCCTTAACTTTGCTGTGAGAATAAATATAAAAAGCTCTGCCTTATTTCATAGCCACTAATAAGTTTTATTTGGCATACATTTTTGTGGCCTGCAATCCACCTCTTCAGAGAACTTATTAGTGTGTGTTTTTCTGTAGAGTTCTATAGCTTTGTTGTCTTGTTGTCTTTTTAATGTTAACTTCTTTTATAATAACAAATCCAAAGCCACTTCCAGTTGCAGCCAACTGAAGTGATGAGATGTCTTATAGAAGTTACTTAGAATGAGTTGATTATACTGCCTTGTAATAACAACTTATCTCAGAAACTACTGGGCAAATGACACAAAATTTATCATTATGTTTGCTGATTATTTTTTTGTTATTGTTTGAAGCATGTATATCTTGCCCTGCAACCCAGACAGTTGCCTATGTTGCCTGCTAATAGTTAATTTGGCAGCTGCATTTTTCAAGATTACAATATAAGTAAGATGTCACACAAGGAAAAGAGATAGACATGGGTGTCTTGTGATGGAGCTGATCTGTCATCATGAATTGAGATATAAAGACTTGGGAGTATGACTAGAATATTGGGGGGGGGGGTTCCTCTCTGTCTCTTCATTTTAGGGGGGATGCTTGGAAACATGGGAGCAAATTGTGCCTTTTCCAGCATTTTGCATCTCTAATCTTGAATTTTCTTTCAAATAGCTAGAAAAACAGTTATCCAAGCTGGGCTGAAATTTAACCTTCTTGCTTATTCTGAGTTATAGGTGAAATGGATGTTAGCATGCTTCCTCAGATCTAGCTAAGTAAGACTAATGGTTTTATTTTTGTGTTTCTTCAAGCCATTTCTAATCTATAGCAATCCTATTATGGAGTTTTCTTGGAAAGGTTTATTCAAATGGGGTTTGCTATTGTCTTCCTGTGACTGAGAGACATGTCCAAAGTCTGCCAGTTGGTTTCCATAGCTTGAGCAGAGATTCAAACCCTAGCCTTAGTCCAGTGCTCAAACCACTACACCAAGCTGGCTGTGTGCATCCAAGAAAAAAAAATCTTGACAACTTCCATTGAAAGTCATGAAAGGGGATTTATCTTCTTCCTTGCTATCTTAATCCCAATGAGTTTTGCTTGTGATCCAAATGATTCTTCTTTGTTACAATAATATCTTTGCACTGGATCATATGAATAATATGATGTAATTTAGACAAGTGTTCTCAGGTAATGTTTAGTTCAAAAATAAAGAAAGAAAAAAAAGAGGAAAATGAGATAATCAAAGTATCTCAGTTGTACTCATCAGCCTGTTGTTATTTCATGCTTGACATGCTTTCAGAGATCTCTATCAGCTGTGTAGAAAATATGTCACTTTAATATTTTTATTGTTTTATTTTCCACTTCCAAAGAACCTTGTAGATCAATAAAAAACAAAACTGTCATTTTCTACATGATTACAGTCTGTAAGATGCAGCAAAGAGAAAATGAGATGAGTGGTAAGAAAAATTTGACCAAGATACTATGGAGTAAAATGTAACTATGCCAGTGGTAATGGAGGAGGAACCATACCTACAGAGGTAATGTTGCTGAAGGCATTGTAATGATGCAGCAGAAGCATCATTACATAATGTGGCCAAAGATGAAGTCCTTTGGCTACATCATGAGAAGACAGGAAAGCTTGGAGAAGACAATGATGCTGAGGAAATGGAAGGAAAAAGGAAGAGGGGCCGACCAAGGGCAAGATGGATGGATGGTATCCTTGAAGTGATTGGCTTGACTTTGAAGGAACTAGGGGTGGCCACAGCCGACATGGAGCTCTGGCGTGGGCTGGTCCATGAGGTTATGAAGAGTCAGAAGTGACTGAACAAATAGACGACAACAACAACAACAGAAATCATCTCTGTCCATCTGGTAACTTGAAAGTTCCCTGGGAGCTGGCAGGGCAGCTGTTAGCAGCTTTATTTCACAATAGAACGGTAATCATGTTCACCAGTGCAACAAATCTTTATGCTAGCATAAACAGCTGGATCTAAACCACAAATGCTGAAAAATTACAAAGTTTTTATAGTACCCAGCTGAAGTAGAAACAATGCAGAAAATCTCTTAGTAGAGTCAGGTGCTATAGTATTTTTGTTCTCCACTTCTGTGGATTCAACCATTTGGAGATTAATTTTTAATATATATATAAAATCTCAGTCCTGCCTCAGCAAAGCAGCTGGAAGATACAGAGGGTGCCATGAAAGTAATGTTGCAGAGCACCCATCTGTGCCATCATGTCACCAGCAGCCAGCAAATGGGGTTGGCCAGCTAACAATGCTGGACTTGCAGGCTCTGTCAGGCCCACCTCTTGTTCTTAGGTGGCAATTTTGGAAGATGATTGGTGTCTCTTAGCAAAACTGAGCATAAATTATCAGAGAACAGAATGTATGAACTGACTTTGTGTTTGGATTAAGTGATTTGACTGCTGTTTGATCTGTCTTGATCTGTGGGGATTTTACATAGAAATGATGTGTTCTGCCACATAATGAGAGGGGATACTTGAGAAAATTCCTGTAGTTTACATTAGAATAAATATTCCACTCTAAAAGACAGAACAGGGTAAAAATAGTAATGAATTAACAGCCCTCCTCACACCATTTTACTAATCATCTACTTCAAGGCCACACATTCCACCTGCAGAGTCATTCGTATATTTCAAAGCAAAAGAAGTGTATAGATTAATTAATCTTTCTGGGGGACTGAGTTAGAAGGAGTTTTAAACATATGAATCATTTTTATTAGAGAGTTTTAAACAATTTGTTATGTTTAGTTTTATGTACTTGTTTTATAATACCAAAAAACTAAAAACAATCTATCATCATACATTGAATTGACTGATTACTGTAGATAACACCTGTAGGAAGAATGTGGGATTATATTTTGAATCAATGTAATATGCAAATACTGGCGGGGTGGGAGGAGGAGCTTGGTGGTGATGCTTTCCCCTGTGGGATGAGTAAATGGTGAGGTGGGTGATGGAGCGATGGTTTCCCCCTGCTGCCCGCTGGATTTGTCCCACTGCATGGTGAATCTCCCTGCTATTGCCTGCCATGTGGACCTCAATGTGTTGAGGTTCTCAGTCTCAATGCAAAGTATAGGGTGCACAATCACAATGCACAACATGTAACCACAATGCAAAAAAAGGAGAAACGATCACAATGAAAGAGTAAGATGGAAGCTACAATAAGCAATATGCAATGCACAGCTTGCAAAGACGACAGGAATGAACATGACTTCTATGCAACTTTGTTTTTTCTATAATCAGCAGTATACATATATTACATATTGGTTACTTTTTGACCCTGTACAATGTATACATGCATATGTCCCTAACAGGACAACAACCCATCATTTATTTCAGAGAAATTGAAATATATTTTTTGGGAACACTGCTGACTCAGAAACTGGCTGGAGGGACAACTGCAGCCACTCTAAGCAGGTCTGGTTACCTGGTGTTGCTGCAAAGCAGTAAAATTATGAAGCATTTGGGAGAGGAACAGCTGGTTGGAATAAGAATGCTACTGAGGAGCAATTGTGTCTGCAGTGAATGCTGTCTCATAAGGAATCAGGTAAATACTTTCTGTTAGAGTATATAATTGTTCTGTCATTAAACAGAGGCCAGTATGACTCACTTAAATGTGGAAATGTCTATCACTCAACATGATACATAGCATTTTAATATTCAGAGATGTTGAGCTTTAACAGAGGAAAGAGGGTTGTTTTAGTGTGCAGTAGTACATTCAGAGTGTTCATATCATCAATGAATAGTATTATCTTTGTGGCTATTGGGCTGCAGACCTGCTCAAAATCACCTTCGTTCTATTGTCCTATTCTGATGCAATCTATGTGGGGATGCTACATAACCCTGCTGTCTGGTGTGTGTGTGTCAGCTGTAATGGGAAATAGAAGTCATTTATGTAACTAGGTGTGACTCTAGTTATCATATCACAGCTGCAACACAACATCCATTCAGCATAGCATAAATATCTGCATGCCAGCACTACACAAGCCCCATGTGCAATAGCACCATTGGACAACATATGTAAAAGACTGGGCATTGTTCCACACTTTGTAACCACAATGTACTATAGCAAGGCGAAACAACAATGTACAATATTGCTGTTAAATTCAACAGCACATCTGCCCACTGTCAGCAGAATAGGCATGGTGCAATATATGGGGGTGTGTGCCAGTCAAAGGGTACATCTACACTGTAGAATGAATGCAGTTTGACATCAATATTTGTGATGGCTTAATGCTATGGAATCATGGGAACTGTAGTTTTAGCTTTTTCTGTCAAATGTTGCTGGTACCTCACCAGCTCCCATGGTAGGCAAAATGCTCATGCCGATCTGCATTAATTCTACAATGTATGATGATGATGATGATGATGATGATGATGATGATAATGATAATAACAATACTTTATATTCCGCCCTTCACACCCCTAAGGGGACTCAGGGTGAATCACAAGTACACACAGCAAACATTCAATGCCATTTGTATAGACAGTACACAGACAGACAGCACAGAAGGAGGTGTTGTTTTGACGCCATGGATGGTTGGGCTCGAGTCCACAGGGGGTGGTGTCGCTCCATCCTCTATGATGAAGAGCCATCAGGACTTCCTCATTCCAGCATTTTCTGATCTTTTTATTTCTGGTGTTGTAAAACACATCCCCTGCTTTTAGTGATACCTAATTTCTCTAATTACAGCTAAAGCTGTTTGCTAACTGCTTAGGTAAATTGTGAGCAGGGCTGACGGTCGGCCACTCATGCCAATCTGGGGCTTTGAATTTGCAACCTTTCGGTTGATAGAGCTTATAGTTGTTGATGATTTACCAGCTGTGCCGTGCCCTGCAGTATAAATAACTGTATGGCACAGTAGTTGTTCTTTATGTTGTCAGATAATTTTTAATCTGTGCATTATTTGTTGTTTATTTTTATTTCCCGTATTACTTTTATACAGTTGTCATGATAAATACTCCTCTTATCCAATACCTGACTTTAAACAGGTTTGGAGATTAAAATCTTCTTAAAATTCAAAATACAGTTCTCAGTCATCAAAGATGATCCCCACACATTTACAACATGCTAACAAATGCACAACCAGTAATGTAACTTTTTCTTGATTGTTGTTAAACTTGATGTATAAAGTGATGTGGTATGGAAGAGCGCGGTACACTTGCATGTCAGGAAACATAACCATATTTATTTGAAAACATGCTGTAATCTACCAGAAACAAGGAAGTCTCCTGGATCAGAAAATAACCTCAGAAGTAATTTAATCCAGGAATTTTCTACTACAGTATTAGGTAACTATCCAACCTCTATTTAATTAAAACTAGGAATGGGAACTTGATCACTTTCCAGGGCAGAACTAGTTCACTGCTTGAAAGTTTATAGCATTATGTCTTTCTTATGTCATCTTTCTTTTAATTCAAACCCATTGGAGTTGGAGCCTGACATCTAGAATGGAGCCTTCCAAAAATTTTATGTTAGTGACACACCTTTTTAGACATCATTTCGCAACACAGAAATTCAGTTCTACTGGCAAACCAGAGTTTAAACCAATCCCTTATAAGAGATATGGATATACACATGTATTATAAGAAGAAATGTATGGGAGCACAACATATCTCATTGAAATCTTTATATTTTTTATGATGTATTGCTTATTTCACATAGACTCAGTGGTTTCCCATTATGTTCACACAACACACCTACATACCACAGCAGACACACTAAATTGTCATGACACATAGTTTGGAAAGCTCTGATCTAGAGCAATGGAGAATAAATCTGCTCCACTACCTATGTGACAGTTATTTAAATATTCATAGATCTGTCCTATCACTTCTTCACATTTTGTCAACTACAATATACACACAAAATGAAAAAAAAAAACACTTCTCATGATTTGAACAATATCCTTCTGAAGTAGCAAATTATATCAACCTTTTTGGTTATTGCATCACAGCCCCTGGTTGTGCAATGGTTAAACCCTTGTGCTGACAAGACTGCTGACCAACAGGTCTGCGGTTCGAATCTGGGGAGAGTGGGTTGAGCTCGCTCTGTCAGCTCCAGTTCCCCATGCGAGGACATGAGAGAAGCCTCCCACAAGGATGGTAAAACATCAAAACATCTGGGCATCCCTTGGGCAATGTCCTTATAGACAGCCAATTCTCTCACACCAGAAGCAACTTGTGGTTTCTCAAGTCGCTCCTGACACGAGAAAAAAAAATCACATTGCTGACTTGTGTTTAGTTTGTGATCTACTGAAATCACAGGATACTGTTTTCAGCACAAATAGTTGCTACAGAAAGCGTTGCCTAACATGTTTGTTCATCTGCTTTCCTTTTTTTTTTACTTAAATGTAAAAGTTTACAGTCACCTTTATTTAC